TTCACAATGTTTTTGGTCATATTTAAATTTATTTACTACTATTTCAAAAAGTAGAACTTTGAGCCGAAAGTGGTTGACTGTAAACATAAAATAATTTATATAAAAATTTCAAGTTTAAAAACTAATTCAATTTTATAATTTAAAAATTGGAATTTTAAATAATTTAAAATAAAACTTTATATATTAAAAGTTAGTAAAATATTTCCAAATAAAATTTAATACAAACATAAAAACAAGATTTTAATTAAAACTCTTAAAACTCCTAGGTAAATAAGACCTCTTTGCAATCTCATAAAATATTAACATCAGAGTAATTTACAAATAATTTAATAAGATAAAAAAAGACTAAACTAATGTAAAACACTAAATAATTAATGACAGTGAAAAATTAAACTCGTACGTTAGTTACATCGGGCACATCTAATCGTAATTAATAAGTGCAGACATAGTTTATTGCATTATTAAATTATAATGATAAAATTTTAGCATTATTATGACAGAATAAAAAATTCACATGATATATTTTATATGTAATAGTTAATCTAACATGTATTAAGGTTTTAATACTGTATTTTTAATCCAACATTAATATTGTTATTATATTTATAACGCTTTAAATTATACAAATAAAAGCATCAATAAAAATAAGCTTAAATTAAATCTAATTTAGCTTATTGTATTGTAGATTATAAATATATTTAAGTTTAACAATAATTATAGCTTTAATCAAATTAAAAATCCACATTTATAGCATGATACTTAATTTGTATTTAACAGTATTTTAATTAATCAATTTTGTAAAATAAATTGTGTGTCAAAGTGTTATAAACATGAGAGTTTAAAAATGATTATTCTTTCTGATTATATTATTGTAATTCATAAGAATTTTATGATCATAGATTAATGTTATTACATTAACTACCATAATATTTATTTATATTCTTGTTAAATGCCCTCTCTGTATCATAAATCATTTGACAAATGCTATTTAATAAAAGCTCACTGAACAAAATATTTTTCAGTGCAAATTAAATAAGCAAACTATATTATTAAGTATTAACTTATTAAGTGTTAGCAAAGTAAAATGTTTTACACAGTATGTTTAATCACCATCATGTGTATGGGGGCCAGCATTTCGGGTACAACCGGTGCTGAGCCGCCCGTAAAGATCGATGTCTATTACGAGAGTCTGTGTCCGTACAGTAAAAATTTTATTGTCGACCAATTGATCCCCACTTACAATAAGGTCGCCTCAATCATCACCGTTGGTCTCATCCCATTCGGTAACGCAAAATGGACAAAGATTGAAAACCCTAATGGTAATTTTGACGTCGAGTTTACCTGTCAGCATGGTGAACAGGAGTGTATTGGCAATAGGATACATGTAAATATTTCATTACTTATTAACTTTTACGTATTAATTAATTAATTGTTATCTAGATTGATAAATATTTATAAGATAAATTATTCGTAACTAGTAACTCTTGAATAAAAGCTATTTCTGTGCCTTAATTCTCGACAAACATTTGCAATTTAAATAACATGGTGTTTATTATTTTTTTATTGGCATCCTAATTACGTACAATAGATGTGATTGTTATCGATGTTTTAATTAATATGACAGCTAGTGCGTGTAATTAATATTTTAGCATTTTTTGTTTGTCTGCTTTATTCTGTATAGAGTGTATATACGGTGGAAATAGTAGGTGATTGTACTATGTAAATTTATGTATTTTATTGTTTATGTTAATTAGGTTTTAGCATTCCTGTTTTCCAATGAAAATAGTAATTTATAAATAGACAATATGGTAAACAACTTGATAACAATATTTATTAAACATTTTAAAACAAATTATGACTTATTACCATATGGTATAAATAATTTACTAGAATATTATTAATAAATATTTTTGTCGAAAAATTAAGACTTATAAAATATAAAAGTAAATTATCATATTAAAATCTAACATTAAATTTTTTATTATTATGATGATATAATTAGAATTATATACAGTATAAATAGATAATCAAATGTACATTAGATTAATATGTTATATAAATATTATCTCTATATCTACTGCCTCTAAGGATGTCCACTATTAATAACAAAAATCAATATATTTACACAACAGGACTGCGTTCTGCTCCGGGAATCGATCGATAGGACTCTGGCCTTCACTGATTGTATATTTAAGTCGTCTCAATGGAAAACACCGGCCAGTGCTGGCAAACAGGTATACATTAATACTAATCCACAAATAATTCTGTCACGATTAAATTATTATTTCATTAAATAAGTTCAATTCTTACATAATAATAACATTCTGTAGATGTGAAGCAAAAGCTTTCATTTTATTAATAGATTTAATCTAGAATAATGAAAATAATTAATTAATCGTGATAAAAATATGATTAAAATTTTTATATGAGCATATTTTACACGTATATAGTGTGCCGAAGAGGTGAGACAAAATTGGACCACCATCAATGAGTGCCAGACGGGGCCGTTGGGTCGGGGCCTGTTGTTATTGCACGGCGAGAGGCATATCAGTCAAAACCCGCGACCTAATTACGTGCCCTGGATTGCCATCAATGGTGTCCACAACGAGGACTTGCAGGACAGGGCACAGAAAGACCTGTTAACCCTAGTGTGCGATACCTATACGGTATGTATAACTACACTTACCATGATGATGTTTTTATTTGATCATTTGTTCTATAGGGCCCGAAACCATCGCAATGCAATCAAATTTAAAATAAACATGTTTTCGGTACAAAACGTTTGTTATTTTTTCATTACAACATTTTAATTTAAAATAAAATGTTTTATCTTCTGGTATTTTCAATGTTTTGTTTTTATTATTAAAATAATAATTTTCAGAGAGAGAGAGAGAGAGAGAGAGAGAGAGAGA